TGAGTGTGTGAAAGTGAGTGTGTGCATGGGAGTGTGTGTGAGAGTACAAGTGAGAATAAGAGTGTGAGTGAGTGTGTAAAAGTGAGTGTGTGCATGTGAGTGTGTGTGAGAGTATGAGTGAGTATGAGTAAGAGTGTATGAAAATGAGTGTGTGCATGTGAGTTTGTGTGAGAGTACAAGTGAGAGTGTGAGAGTAAGAGTGTGTGAAAGTGAGTGTGTGTGAGAGTACAAGTGAGAGTGTAAGAGTGTGTTAAAATGAGTGTGTGCATGTGAGTGTGTGGGAGAGTACAAGTGAGAATGTGAGAGTAAAAGTGAGTGAGTGTGAGAGTAAGAGTGTGTGAGTCTGTCAAAGTGAGTGTGTGCATGTAAGTGTGTGAGAGTATGAGTGAGATTGTGGGAGTGTGTGTCCATGTGAGTGCGTGAGAGTACGAGTAAGAGTGTGAGAGTAAGAGTGTGTGTGACAGTGAGTGTATGCATGTGAGTGTGTGAGAGTATGAGTGAGAGTATGAGTGAGAGTGTGAGAGTAAGAGTGTGTGAGTGTGTGTGCATGTGAGTGTGTGAGAGTACAAGTGAGAGTGTGAGAGTAATAGTGTGAGTGAGTGTAAAAGTGAGTATGTGAAAGTGAGTGTGTGAGAGTACAAGTGAGAATATGAGAGTAAGAGTGTGTGAGTGTGTGAAAGTGAGTGTGTGCATGGGAGTGTGTGTGAGAGTACAAGTGAGAATAAGAGTGTGAGTGAGTGTGTAAAAGTGAGTGTGTGCATGTGAGTGTGTGTGAGAGTATGAGTGAGTATGAGTAAGAGTGTATGAAAATGAGTGTGTGCATGTGAGTTTGTGTGAGAGTACAAGTGAGAGTGTGAGAGTAAGAGTGTGTGAAAGTGAGTGTGTGTGAGAGTACAAGTGAGAGTGTAAGAGTGTGTTAAAATGAGTGTGTGCATGTGAGTGTGTGGGAGAGTACAAGTGAGAATGTGAGAGTAAAAGTGAGTGAGTGTGAGAGTAAGAGTGTGTGAGTGTGTGACAGTGAGTGTGTGAGAGAGTATGAGTGAAAGTCTGAGAGTAAAAGTGTGTGAGTGTGTGAGAGTGAATGTGTGCATGTGATTGTGTGAGAGTATGAGTGAGATTTTGAGAGTGTGTGTGCACAAGTGTGTGTATGTGACTGCGTGAGAGTACGAGTAAGAGTGTGAGAGTAAGAGTGTGTGTGACAGTGAGTGTATGCATGTGAGTGTGTGAGAGTATGAGTGAGAGTATGAGTGAGAGTGTGAGAGTAAGAGTGTGTGAGTGTGTGACAGTGAGTGTGTGAGAGAGTATGAGTGAAAGTCTGAGAGTAAAAGTGTGAGTGCGTGAGAGTGAATGTGTGTATGTGAGTGCGTGAGAGTACGAGTAAGAGTGTGAGAGTAAGAGTGTGTGCGTGTGTGACAGTGAGTGTGTGTGCGAGTATGAGTGAGAGTGTGAGAGTAAGAGTGTGTGAGTGTGTGTGCATGTGAGTGTGTGAGAGTACGAGTAAGAGTGTGAGAGTAAGAGTGTGTGAGTGTGTGACAGTGAGTGTGTGAGAGAGTATGAGTGAAAGTCTGAGAGTAAAAGTGTGTGAGTGTGTGAGAGTGAATGTGTGCATGTGATTGTGTGAGAGTATGAGTGAGATTTTGAGAGTGTGTGTGCACAAGTGTGTGTATGTGACTGCGTGAGAGTACGAGTAAGAGTGTGAGAGTAAGAGTGTGTGCGTGTGTGACAGTGAGTGTGTGCATGTGAGTGTGTGTAAGAGTACAAGTGAGAGTGTAAGAGTGTGTTAAAATGAATGTGCGCATGTGAGTGTGTGTGAGAGTACAAGTGAGAATGTCAGAGTAAAAGTGAGTGAGTGTGAGAGTAAGAGTGTGTGAGTGTGTCAAAGTGAGTGTGTGCATGTGAGTGTGTGAGAGTATGAGTGAGATTGTGGGAGTGTGTGTGCATGTGAGTGCGTGAGAGTACGAGTAAGAGTGTGTGCATGTCAGTGTGTAAGAGTTCAAGTGTGAGTAAGAGTGTGTGAGTGTGCGTGCATGAGTGTGTACATGTGAGTGTGTGAGAGTATGAGTGAGTGTGAGAGTAAGAGTGTGAAAGTGAGTGTGTACGATTATAAACAGACCATGAGCTTCAGCCTCAAAAAACACATCTGATTGTGAGCTACTGAAGTGAATGTGAATCCTAAATGCTCCTCTGATGCGTCACATGTCCAGCACTGAACACCATCTGCTGCTCACACACACAGAAACGAGGTGTTGTCAGGCAGAAACACACAGACAGAAGTGACACAGAAACTACATGTCACGTGTGTGTGTTTCTGCTGAACGCCATATGGAGCTCTTCCACACACACACACACACGCTACAGGAAATGTCAGACGCCCCGTCCTGTCGCTCTGTGTTTATCAGTGAGTGCCGGCGGTGCTGCTCTCTGTGGAGGACGATCACACGCTCCATCAGTGCAATAAAACACCAGCGAGACCTTCAGCAGCTTCTCCTCTTCTTCAGCGAGTCCAGCGCTGGATCGCTGCTGCTGATGCTGCACAGTTCATCTCACAGACACCCATCTGTCCCTCATCTGAACATCAGCTTCATCAACTGATCTCAACCTATTAGAGTAAGATGAAGAACAGACGTGGACTTCTGCAGAGCTGAAGGTGTAATGAACATTCACACATTTATCTGAGTGTTGATGGGAATATGAGACATTTTGGGGCTTAAAATACAATTAATATTCATAGTCATATTATGGATTTACCTGCACTGACTCGATCGGATGATAACAAAACTTGAACTGAATTCAACTGAATAATGACCATTTTCTTCTGTAGAGCTGCAGAAATTAAAAGGAAAGTAACAGTGTTAATGTTGAACAATTTATCAATTATGAAAAATTTTATTTCAGCAGTAAAGCAGCTCTACAGCATGTGAAGATGTGAATGAGATTCGAGAGCTTGAGGAAGAATCATCTGTGTTTCAGCAAAGTCAGGCTGAGATGATGATTTTTGGGTGAATTATTCCTCAGTGAAGTAAAAATTAAATCATAATCTGACTATTAATTACCTTCTTAATTTGTGTTCCTGGTGTTAAAATTCTGAAGAAGGAAAGATGGATGGAAGGTGGATTCATGAGACCTGCAGTGCTTTTATGTTAAAGAAACACAATAAAATGAATGATTGCACATAAAGAGCAATGAACACTGGATGAGACATACAATGAGCAGGTGTTCAGCCCACACACACACACACACACACACACACACACACACACACACACACACACACACACACACACACACACAT